ACGTTTTTTAACCGTCACGAAAAGTCTGCAAAAAGTTGGTTTTTAACGAAAGGACGAAGCACGTTTTTTGAGGGAAATGACGGAATGTTCCGAATTTTTGAGTTTTCGTGACTTTTTTCTAACCATTACAAAGAAAGTTGAAAGTGAGGATGTATTTCATGATGTTTATTAAACGTCACGAAATGTAGAGGTGCGTTTTTTGCAGGAAAAGACGGAGTTCTTCGGATTGCCGGCTTTTCCATGACGTGTAAAAAACGTCACGAAAGTTATTTTCCATGATGCTTTGTAAACGTCACGAAATGATAAGACCCGTTTTTTGGCAGGAAAACTGGATTTTTGGCTTTTTTCATGACGTCTAAAAAACATCACGAAAAGTTGGAAAAATAAAGTTATGGTGACACTTAAGACACGTCATGAAAATGTGAGGCTTTTCGTGACGTTTTTTATACGTCCCGAGAAGTGGGAAAACTACATTTTAGTGACGTTTTAAAAGGGTTGCTTTTCGTTATGTTTAAAAATGACATGAAATAGTGGAGCAATATTTTTTGTGGGAAAACATGACGACTAACGAATTTACTGTCATTTGTGACATTTTTTAAACTTCATGAAATCGTGAGCTGTGCTTACAATTTTCTTTTTGTCACTTTATGACATTTTATGTCACGAAAGTGAATATGTAATTTAAAATTTTTATTCTATTTTAAAATTGTTGTAAAATATTGAATTAGAGTAAAACAATATAGATGTAGATTTTTTGATACTTTATGATGGTTCGTCACGTTTCACACATCTGTTTTCCATTTAGATTTTTTTGTTTGTGGATGAAGTCAGTTTTTCTTATGTTTACGAATTTTAGTTGGTTTTTTTAGCTTCAAATGAGCACCATATGTTTGCCCCACTTATACTGTCATATGTTTTCAAGTAAAACTACTGCTTCATGAAAAATTTGACCATTTCTGTGAAGGTCAGTGTTGGTTTGATTTATGTCCCCTTTGTACAAGTGTACGTTGCATCAAGTTAATAAAAAGTTTGTATCCACAGGGTGAGGAAATATGCACAAATATGAACTGAAATACTGATATTGAAGTGAGTAAGGGGGAAGCGGTTAAGTAACTCTTGTGGACTTAAGCAAGCGACGTTACACCATAAACCATAAACGACGCTAGAACATTGCATGTTTCTTTGAGATATCAAGTATATCAATTATTTACTTTATTTTAGGTATGGTATTGACATAATTAATTGATATACCTAATATGAAGTATGAGTTTACATCGACCGGCCAGGCAAAAAATAATCTCTGCTGACCAACCGACTTGGTGAAGCTTTTGCCAACCTAACCGACAGTCGGTTGATTCAGTCAGTTTTCGACAAAC